CCCCTCATATTCGTCAGAGTCCAGTCTTTCCACAGTTGAGTATGAGAAGGCTGAAAACAGTTTTCTTCCCTAAAGGGGTCTGATTAAAATTTACCCCAGCTCCCCGTGTTCGGACCCAGGCAGGCAGACATGAGGATTTGTAAGGCATGACTCTGCCGCTGGTCTTTGCCAGCCAGTGCTGACTCTTGCTGAGGAAGCGGGACTTTGGCTTTATGCTTCCGGTGAGTTTCATTTGATTTTAGCATCTTCTGTATGTTGGACAGTGATAAGGTACAGTTGGTACTCACGGGTGGGAGGGCACACTCGAAGTAACCCAGGAAGACTGCCAAGAAAATAATGTGTCTAAAATAGGGTGTAATTGAGGAGGGGGTCACACTGGGGGAACTAGTAACCCACAAGGCTAGCCAACAGTGAGGTGGTTAAAACATTGTCACTAGCCTGAGGTAGCATCAGAGTAGAATTAACCATCAGTTTCTTTTCATCTTCCCCTCCCACCAGTAAGGCTGAGCCATGCACTACGGTGACCACGGTCATCAGATGCTGCCCTCGACTACCCGTCTTGTCCAATAGACTGGGAGGCTGTGAAAAGGTTTGGTTTAGTTATAATGAAAATGGGACCTTCTGGGACACAGTCCTGTGAGGTATAGACCCACAGCACAGACCCCCGGCAGGTGAGAACTCTCCATGTTGGGTCCACTGTCTTTGGTTTCTGGCTACAGAAATTGTCAGCCATCTGGGTACTACGTTAAGGATCCAGTCAGAAGGAAGCAAGTCAACATTCTCCATTGCTCTCCACAACATCCAGAAACATACTGTGACTAAGGGACCCTGCCAGGGACACTGGGACCTGCTCTCATCCTCAGGACAGTGGAGACAGACCCAGGGCTGTGCTCACCACACTGGCTCATATCGGGGAACAGTCAACTATGGCTTCACATGAAGGGGCCACTAGAAGCAACACATTTTCTGGAATTTTTTGGTATAAAGGACAATTGAGATTTTAAAAGTATGTGTGTGTGTGAGAGAGAGAGAGAGAAGAGGGGGGAGATGTGGGACTGTAGAATCCTGGGTGTTTGGCCACGCCCCCAGAACCCAGAGACCTGCCACGAGGTCTCCATGTCCCAAGTAGAGTGGGGGGGGGAACAGATCTCTGCCTCAAAATTTATGTATTACCTGAAGCCCCGCCCACTTCCAATATATAAACAAACCCCTTCTGACATGTTTTGGGAGAGTTCTTTACCATCCAAACCGCCGTGTCAATAAATCTGGACGTGTTTAACTCCACATGTCTCTTGAAAGCCTGGACTCACTGTGTAAGCCAAAACCCAGGCGGAGGGGCGGGAGTGGGAGAGATAAGTCTTTTGTTCTAGCGGGGCCGTGGGACACTTTCTCTTGAGAGCCAGGGTTCCCAAGACCCTCCCCCCCCAACACACACACACACTGCTGCCTGCCAGCCCACGGGGCAGGGGGATGGGAAGCTTTTCTCTCGGTGGTCGGCTCTGCCCAGCGCGACTGCACAACACGCCCCAGGGCTATCACTCCGCTGTCCGCCACCTGCCACCCTGCGCCCCCGCCTGCGACCGGTGTGCGGGCCGTGCCGGACAGGGAGAGAGTGTGTGTAAGTTATGTAAAGGACCACGGTCCCTCCAGCAGACCTAAGCTTTGCATTTTCCTGGCCCTCCCAGCTGGGGTAAGCGGGTGGTAACTGCCGCTTCTGCACACTTTGCAGCCTCTGGGTGGATAAAGCACAGCCCACTTTCTTTCACCTTTCCATGTAGACTTTACTCTGATCCCACGCCCTTGCTGAGGCTTTGATAGATTCACGCTTTGACACGCGTGTGTGTTCAGTTCTTTTACGAAACTTGCATACTAATTTTTCCCACCAAAAATCTTCCCTTCCCCCTAGTCCTAACCAGAATTTGTTTTTTAATGATAGCCAGGTGACTAGATTGAGATGGAATCAAAGTAGCTTTGAATTGTGATTCCCTGGTATCTGGAAGGCTGGACCTTGTGTTTTGTCTGTGGTGTAGGTGCATGTTGTTTTATAAAAAGAAAAGAGAAGCTGGGGGGGGGGGGGATGTTTGGTGGAGGTGTGGTATGGTGTGGGGGAGGGGGTGCCTCTGTCGGCCTATGCTGAGGCATCCCTTCCCCCTGAGGTACCAGCCACATGAAGGTATAGTATAGAGTGTATTTAGGGCATGGGAAGGAGAGTTGAGGGGTGGGGTGGAGAGGGTGTGTGGAGAGGAGTAGAGGCCGCCATGAGCATGTGGAGAGAGAGGGGGAGGGGAATGGGGAGAGATGGGGAAGAGGGTAAGGGGCAAGAGAATGAGGAGGGGGCAAGCAGCCCCTCTTATAGCGAGTCAGGCATACCCGGCTGTTGCCAGGTAACTGTGGGGCGGAGCCTAGAAGGAGTGCCAACAGTGCACGTGTGCAAAGGCGTGAGGAGGACCTTGGGTGTCCTGCTCTGTCACTCTCTAGCTCTAGTTTGTCACTGAACCTGGAGCGAGGCTGGCAGTCAGCAAGTGAATTCCAAGGGCACAGCAGCAGCCCTGGCTTTTACAATGGATGCTGGGATCCAAACTTGGGTCCTCCTACTTAAGCAGCCAGCACTTTTACTCTCTGAGCTGTCTCCCCAGCCCCCCTTTTTTGAGAAATGTTTGTTTGTTTATTGATGACATTGTTTGGTAATTTTGAGTTCTTATGGTCGGAGATTTTGCTGCACAGGAGCTCTTTAATTGTAGATAATCCTCTTAATCGGTTCTTGTTGCTTGAGTGCTCAGAAAAGTCTGCTTGTGTCTGTATCCTCAAGTGTTCTTCCCTTCCGGGTTCAGGTCTTAGGTTGAGGTCTCTGGTCCACTCTTGTACACTCTTGTGTTCTGGCTAGTTGGAGGTCAGTTATGCAGTCATTTGAATTTTAGCATCTTTTTTTTTTCCTGTCTATGAAGAATGCCATTGGAATCCGGCTGAGATCTAAGCATCAGTTTAGAGCATTTTCTGGTAGAGGGCTTAGGGTTTTTGTCAAAGATCAGCTTTGATACCAGAGTTTAACTGAGGTGGGATGGAGAGTCTGCTTTTGGGAAGCTGTAGCTCCTGGCAATCTGGCTCTTTTGCTCTTTTGGGGCCAGAGCTAATGGCTTCTGGCAGTTAAATCCCTTTTACTCTTCTAGGCCAGAGCTGATAGCAATGGACTCCTGCTGATAGCAGCAGGGGATTAGAAAAACTTAATTACTTGGGCCATCTGAGAAAGAAAAAGACAGAAACCACACATTCACAGTCAACGGATGATGCAAAGGGCTCCAACCAATCTTTATTTTTGCTCCCAGCTTTTCTACCTTCTCAGACAAAAGTTCTCTATGTAAGAAAAAACAAATTACCTCACAGAGGAAGTTACAGTTGTTTTCTCTGTGTATTTCATTCTATAAGCTCATTGTAAGTTCAAAGTGATAGTTATTATACGTTCATGGCCTTACTTTATCACGGTGCACAACTGTGGCCTCGTCCTTGGACCTGACCTAGAATGAATATTGTCTTTGATCATGAATTTGTCCCAAGCCTGTTCTTCTTCCTAATGCAATGTGTGCACTTGGAAGGTATGGATGCTCACTGCACGCCTTTTCATGCAGCCTTAACTTGTATTATTAACTTATTCTGAGGGGACACATTTTATTCTTGATTCTAACTCTACTTATATCTTTTTGACAAAACAACTTAAACCATCTCCTTAAACTTTCTAGCAATTATTCTAATTTCCTAAAATTATTTGGAATCAGAGCAGGAATTCTATAAAATCATTAATTCATCTAAACAGCATTAATCCTTTGAAAGTTCATCTTCATGTTGATCTGCAGCAAATTTACCCAGTAGGATAGGCTAATACCCATGAATCAATCATAACAGACTACAGGCAGAAAGGGTCTTTCTTTCCCAGTCACAGCCTGTCAGAACAATGAGGAATACAGCAATGGCAAGCATGAGAAGGCACATCAGGGGTGGTGGTGGCGGCGCACGTCTTTAATCCCAGCACTTGGGAGGCAGAGGCAGGAGGATTTCTGAGTTCGAGGCCAGCCTGGTCTACAGAGTGAGTTACAGGACAGCCAGGGCTACACAGAGAAACCCTGTTTCGAAAAAAAAAAAAAAAAAGAGAAGGCACATCAGGCGCAAGAGCAATCCTGGGACGAAGTCCCTGGGGTCCAGGTATCTTCAGAGCATAGCCATGTCAGCCATGCAATACGCTGGCCAGTTCCTAAAGAAGCATGAACACATACCTCTCCATGGCATACAGTTCAAACAATGCTTTTCATGGGTGTAGGTTAAGACAGAGTCTCCTTCAGGACTCCTGGCTTTTGTCTATAAAATTACGCTAAGGCTACAAGGTTCTGAGTGAATTACTTTATACCAGTGACTGGCAAACCCTGTCAAAACTAGATCATAAGTATTTTGTGTTGTGCAGGCTACGTGTTCTGAAGCAAACATGGCTCTGTTTTAATAAAGCTTTATTATTATGGTATTTTGCATGTATGTATACCATCTGCCTGCTTGGTACCTACAGAGGTCAGAAGAGGCTGGCTGTCAGGCCCTCTGGACCTGTAGTAAGCTATCATTGGATGCTGAGAACCAAACCAGGTGCTCTGCAAGAGCAATACGTGCCCTTCCTGCTGAGCCATCTCTTCAGACCCATTTTAAAGCCATGTTTGACCTAAGTAGCCCTTACGCAAAGAAACAGTAGCAAACTCCCTGGTGGAGACACACTCCAACATAACACAGACTGGCCGACAGTACTTCTAGGCAAGCTCTCGTCTCCCTGATCTAAAACCCCATACTTAAAACTGTACCTTAGTAAAGTGACATTGGCTATTCAGGTCAGGCTTCCACCCAAGACACTAACACTTGCTATTGTAGAGTGGACGGCCCCGCCCAAAGCCAGCTACCATAAGGGCACAGCAGGTGATGCAAGCTGCGAGGCACCAAGGGCTTCACTTGTTCTCTCTTCTGTCCCTCAGGTCTCTTCCTTATCCTCGGCCTGATCTTCTACCCTGCAGGCTGGGGCTGCCAGAAAGCCATAGACTGTGGACGGTATGCATCTCCCTACAAACCTGGAGACTGCTCCTTGGGCTGGGCCTTTTATACTGCCACTGGGGGCACAGTCCTCACCTTTATCTGTGCTGTCTTCTCCGCACAAGCAGAAATTGCAACCTCCAGTGACAAAGTCCAGGAAGAAATTGAAGAAGGGAAAAACCTCATCTGCCTCCTTTAGTCTGGAAGACATTACTGCCACCGTTACCTTTCTTTCTGGCCTTGTGACACAGTCTTCATCATTTGAACCAAGTGAAGAACCAGTCTTGACCTCCTGGAGCCACATCCCACAGCCCCGGGCCTTCGTGGGACCAGTGAGGGGCACCACCCACCAAGCAGCGCTCTTGGACATGCCGGCTGCAGAGCAACTAATGAGACCAGACAAGGACGTGGCATAGACCCTGTGGAGTCCTGTCAGAGACTCCGTGTCCCCGGGGCTCAATGAAGGATAGAGCCCTGACTCACGAAGGCAGGCGGCAATCTCCCTGGCAGCAGAGGAGAGGATAGCCAGCCTCAGGTAATTTGAGGCAGGTCTTGGCCCACAGCTAGGTGTTTATGGGCATCTCAGAATGCCGGGTAGAGGTGGGGGTCTTGGTTTTCTTCCTTCTTGTTTCATGTTGTCTCGCTTGGAGACTGAAAGGAAGATTACAGACTTACTGATGACAGGTTATATGTGGAAGATCACAGCAAGATACCAGGTTTTGCCTAACTGCACAAAGGGTTTAACAAGGACAGCGCAGAACCCCCACTGTGGAACCACTCCAGTTTGAGTTCCAGGGTAAGAGGCGTCAGTGGAACTCTCCTCAGGATTTGAGTAAAGAAAGACAATCACATAAGAATAAAAGTACAAACCTCTGCCACTAAGGCACCTTCCTGCTCCGTACAGCCAGCCTAGTGCCTGTGATAGCCCCGTCTCCTCTGGTAGTTAGTTTTCTCCTAGGGTTGGGGTTTGCTTGGCTGCCCAGGGAAACCTCAGTGCTCCCTGCTTCCAAGGACTGCAGCCTCTGGAGCAGCTGTGGTGCATGCACATGTTCGCAGGGAGGGGTTGCCAGAACCTCAGCATTTGCAGAGTGAAATTTTCTGTTTGGTTACTGTGTGTTCCAACCCCACTGGCATTGTTTGCAGAGAAAGCAGGAGCTAGCCCTGGAAGCTTCTCTAGCTTCTGGTGTTGATCTGCAGAGCAGGCTGGACAACACTGGCTCGCTGCCAAGGAATTCCTGCATCAAGAGTCCCATCCCCAGGTTAGCACAAAAGCAGGGGCTGGACCAGGCTCATTGCACCTGCCTACGAAGGTCACAGAACCACCAAATGCCTACTTAAGAGGACTCAGGGCTTTTAATCCAGTCTCCATAAATTACCCATTTGACCAAAGCAGCCAGAAACACCAGAGTCTGGTATCACATGAACCTTGCAGATACAGAGACCCTTCATAGCAGTGCAAGTGGAGAGAGAGGCCTTATTTGGATTTAGAGATATGTTCATCTCTTAAAGGTTAAATAATATAAAAATAATTAAAAAAAAAAAAAGAATTACCCTCTTGGAAAATAGAAAAAAAAAAGTCAACTAGTGAAGCACCTTCTCCTGGCAGGTGTTTGCTCATCAGGTACACAACCCTGACTCAGATTTTACAGGCTTGTCCCAGTGAATCACTTAAAGCCATGTCAGTTTCGAGCCAAGCCTTGGTACAGAACAGCTCCCTAATCTACAGATGGGCTAGGCCCACTGGGGTTTATTATAGTCTATTTGCCCTTTGGCCTACAACAGAAACCATCTTATCTCTCATGCAGATGAAGGTTATGGAAGGGTACTAAATCAGATCTTAACTTCAGTTCTGAACCAGTTCTCAAAATAAGCAAGATGGAGAGCCTGTGGCTTCTTTAAAAGAGAAGGAGGAGGCACCTAAGCTCAGGAAACAGGAGCAGATCACTGAGTACTTGCGCCATGGAGCACACGGGGAAGGCGCTCGTCTCCAGTGGGTATTGATGACGTCCCAAGCAAGTCCTCTGACGGCACAGTAACTGTGTTTTCAACCTGGGCAATACTTTGCACGAAATGCAGTTTTTGTTCATTAGGAAAACTGTGACAAAACCACCTTGTTTTCCTAGAATTTGCCAGATTAACTTTTCCATCTTTACCACCTTAGCTCATTCTTCACAGACTAGTCCTAAGCTGCAGATTCTGTGTGCATGCCAACACCTGCTCTTTGGGGTCAAGTGGCAGTGGACTTCTAGCAACCTGGTAACAGTCACAAATGAAGACACGACCTCTTTGCCATACTGTTAACTGTTTCTCATTAATTTAAATGTTAGAGAAGACAGCCCCACCACAAAAGGTCATAATGAAAACTGCCTACATACTGACTTAATGGAACAAGATTGCATTTTATAGCAGAGAGACCTTCAAACCAATACACAGACTTTTACAGAGAATGAAAGGACCATCTACAATTGTGCTAATATAGAATAAAACTTTGCTCCTGACTCTTTAAAACCACTTGCTGGCCAAATACCCATTTCTCTGATAATAGGACCATTACTACTACCAGAAAAGTCTTATTTTGCCTGCATTTGCTTCTCGTTAAACTCTAAAGCAGAAATATTTGGGAGTCTGTGGCTTCTTTAAACCTGTGTGGTAATTCAACATTACATTTATAACTGTGGAAGGGTCTTTGAAGTATCTGTGGTGTAATGAATGGCCTTTGTTAAACATGTATTCTGTAAAGTGCCATAGTCTTTTTTTTTATGTGTAGCATATTTAAGTATATATATTACACATACACAAGTTTGTCTAATAGATGTGCAATAACCAAGATGTATGTACATTTTCTTTGGGGAAACTGGACAAGATTCAAACCAGGGATGTTTCTTTTTGGGCAAAGGAGGGTTAGGCATTTTTGCCTTCATGGCTAATCACTAGTCTGCAACATTTTTAATGCTGTACAAACCTTATGTGAAGAAAAGACTGGTATGAAGTCATTTTCTCCTGGGTCTAAGCTAAAACAATCACTATATTTATGGAGAGTCGATCCAGCAAGCCAGGCCCAGCCAGTGCTGGTCTTCCGTGTGAAATGTGAAGCTCGGTGTTGCCTCTTCTGTCAGCCTGAACACTAGACGCTGGTGTAGAATGAGCAACGATTTCTTACTTTGCGTTTATAGGCCATGGAAACGCTAGACCACTATCTCTAAGGGCTGGTCTCACACCTTCTTAGCCATAAGAGTCTGGCTTAAGACAGACCATTCCGTGCAATAACACATGGCTGCTGGAAATCCCAGGCCTGTATTGTGTTTTGGGGAGCAAAGACTCTCAAGGCCAAAAGAGTTCAAGGGATGTGTTGGGGCTTCTGAAACTGTGGGAAAACTTCTTCCATAGCTGAATGGGTCCTTGGGTGCTCTGAAGGAACTTTAGCACTGTCTGATGTTCAATAGCCACTTGAGCCAAATATAAAATTGTACTTAGAGCTGACAGACTCATTCGGAGCCTTCAAATGTGTGGTTATCCTATTATATGTAAACTAATACATTGTTTGTCTAGCATTGATTAGGATTCTGTACTTAAGGATTTTCACAATGTCCTCCCTTCCCCTCTTGAGATCTGAATTAAATCCAATTTTGCAAACTCATTCTTTCAAGTTTGTTGACTTCAATACAGTGCACATAATTTGATCAAAAATGCAAACTTTAAAAGTTTAATATATAGCACAAAACCAAGACCTTTTCTACTGCCGGTTCTTAACCCAATCATAGGATGTCTTTAATTTGCAGCTAAGTTCTTCTTCCTTGGAGAAGTGATCAACATAATTAGAAGCACCTTAATTTTAAAGTAACACTATGAGATGAAGTACTTTAGAGCATTTGCTAACCAAGAGGTACGTCTTCCTTACCACACAAAAAATACTCAAAAGCCAGTTCTATGGGGCCTTCTGTATCCACAGTCCCTGGAGGAGACCTTGACCAAAAAGTCAGGACACCTAGGCTTTTAATCTGTCGACTCAAGGAAGACGCCAAACACAATTCTCATAAGTTTACTCAACTCTGCACATGCCCAGGAGGAACACGTGCCGTCAGAATAAACAAGAGTGGCCATCTCCCTAACCTAGCTTCTGACAGATGGAAGGCACACACATACATTGGTTTCTGAGGATAAATAACCAGGTTTATAATTGAAACAACTTAAAAGTTAGCACCCCTGCGGGGCGCCGCCTCGCCGAAAAGGAGAACGCCACGCTTCAGGATTCTTCTGGCAGCATTTTTATTACAGCTCTTTTAGTGTTACAGCTCTCTTAGATGGTAGTGAGGCGAGGGACCCCAAGCCCCAAAAGCTAGTGGCTTATATAGCGCTTTAGGAGATGTGCCGCACACTCATTGGCTCTTATGATGTCGCCAAATTAGCATACTGATTTTCGCGCCTTGCGCAGGCGCACATTCAAGCAAGGCTCGCAAGAAGAACCAGGAAGCAGGAAACCGGCGCCATCTTCCGATGGCGGACGCGGCTCCTAACACACCCCATCACAAGGAAACGCTTTGAAACAAACCATCTGACTAATGAAAGGAAAACTGGAACCACACTGTTCTCAAAAGTCCAGAGAAAGCACCAGGACTTCAGTGTGAGCAGAGGCTGGGACAGTTGTGTGTATTCACTGTCCTCGGGTTGTCTATCTGTGGAGTGGGTGCAGGGCTAATATGTAGAGGCCAGAGAAGGACACCAGGAGTTGTTTTCTAGCACTTTCTGTCTTATTTGTCTGCATTTCAGGTAGGCTGGCTGGATAGGAGCTCCCACCTGCCTGTCCCCATCCCCTAACACGGGTTAAAGCCCATGCAGCCCTGCCTAGTTATATGGAGAGTCAAATGTAGGTCCTCCTTGTTTACACAGCAAGGATTCTTAACCATTGAGCCATCTCACCAGCCTGAAACCTAAGTTCTCACAGGGAAAATTTCCCACTCGATCTCCTGGAAAACATACTCAACTTCCTCTCTTAGAGCCCCATAAACGTCTTTATTACCCTGGATATTCCTGGTGTGTGGTCACTGTTTCAAATAACTCCCTCCTCGGGGACACACAGCATGAGTGGTAAGGGCACTGCGGCCAACAGAGAGCAACAAGGTCAGAGGCAGAGATTGGAGCCTTAAGTCCCAGGGGAGAGGAGAGATGGCTTTGATGATGTGCACATCCTGTCAGTGCTTCAGAGAATTCATCAGGCCTATGAGGTAGGAAGCTTTCTATAGACCACACCTGGCACTGGTGTAACTTTGGTGAAGTTCTTTGCCTCAGGTCGGAGCTAGGAAGTGGCAAAGCCTGGCATCAGGTACAGGTTTGAAGCCAAATGGCTATGCTGCACCCCCTTCCTGATGGGAGGAGTGGGGGAACACATGTACTGCATCACTGCAGCAACACTTGTGTGACATCAGCTGTATCTCCACAAGGGTCTTATCCCTGCTCTCTTTCAGGAACCTAGCGATTTTTCACACTTGAAGATGGCACCTTATATTTTAACTTACTGATCACAGTTCAGCTCAATCCTGAAAGCAGACAATTCATCAGATCCATGACAGTGGCTTAGATGGTCTCCCCCGTGTCTTAGTGATGGAAATCTAAGTCCTGGGTTATCTCATACAAAGGAAAAGCAACTGTTGGCATCACGTGGGCATACATAACCCAGGAAATACTTAAGAATTTGTCCTCAACTTTCTCCAAACACAAATGCCAAAGACCACTTACCCCAACACACTGCTAAGAACAGGAAGCAGGAATTCACCTGCACATTCGAAACAGCTTTGGTCAAGAAATGGAAAAGCGGCTGGAGAGATGGCTCAGCGGTTAGGAGCACTGACTGCTCTTCCAGCAGTCCTGAGTTCAATTCCCAGCAACCACATGGTGGCTCACAACCATCTATAATGGGACCTGATGCCCTCTTCTGGTGTGTCTGAAGAGAACAATGGTGTACTCATATACATAAAACAAACAAACAAATAAATAAATCTTAAAAAAAATGGAAAAGCAATGTAATGCAATTTTTTCCCTTGGGTAATGATCCTTTTCCTAAGGTCCACTGTCTATAAAGACGGACATAAGTTACCAGAAGTATGGAAGGGTGAGGGGGAATTCAGAACTGGAGAGAAACCACCCCTGGCTGGACAGAAGCTGGAGGACCCGCCCTCCCTCAGACTTTCACCACTTTTACTCACAGGTACTTTGTTGACATTTCCTAATCCTCTAGAAATGGCGACAATCAGCAATTACACCATAGATTTGGTGCAAGGATTCAGGAGCACATAGAAAGTCTTAGTGCAGTCTCTTCTAAGTCCTCAACAGTAAGAAAACAGAATCCTGTCTTCCCAAATTTCCCAAATACATACTTAAGAGTTTCTTTTGTTTTATTTGCCTTTTCTGGACAGGTAGCCCTGGCTGTTCTGGAACTTGCTATGTAGACCAGGCTAGCTTTGAACTCACAGAGATCCACCTGCCTCTGCCTCCTCAGTGCTGGGATTTTAGAAGTCACACTTTGTGATGATACAACCTGTTGTCAAAAGTGATCAAGTTTTAGTTACTATAAAATTAGTAGCCTGGCTACTTGGGGCCACCATTTCTTTGCATCTCAATATCACAGATCATCCTTTACCTTACAGCTCTCTGGTGGTGGGAGGGTCCTCCATGAATGCAGAAGACAGTTATTCTTATATAGAAAAAAAAAAAAAAGATTGAGCAAATCCACAGCCCAGGGAAACCAGAACGCTTACACACGAGACCTTGCTTACTTATCCAGTCTTATGGGAATGAAAGAATTTTGGAAAAGGAAAACCTAGTGCTGGCTAGGACTCCAAATGATGGAAATATAAACTGATAAATTCTTTCTAGAGAGCCAAAAGTTAACATTTTATTTTTATTTTTTTAGCACACACATAACTTTCAATTCAGCAAATTTTTTCCTAACAACAAAAACCTTGAGCCCCAAGATTTAGCAACAATATTATTTGCTGGCAAATCATTTCTAATTTAAAAAAAAAACTTGAAAATCAGAATCTAAGAACATAAGATTTGATGATAGCTACCTGTAAGTCAGAAATATAAGAAGACATTTTTTGTATATTTCTATAGCAACTGAAAAGAGACAAGAAACCACTGTGTGAATTAAGCCTCTTTGGTTCAAAATGAAAAGAAAATAATTCAAGATAGGCCAGGGGGACTGAAGATAAGAACAGGTTGAGAATGGCATGAGCCAAGTCAAGCAGAAAGGCCTCTGAGCTGAAAGCTGCCGACCTGTCCGAAGCCTGAACGAACACCATTCTCAAGCTCACTTCGATCAGCTGTGTTGGCTGGTGGTTCCTTCTCTGTGGGCCAGTATGGCCGCCCGTACATTCAGTGGTGGTAGAGTCCTGCTAAACACATCTACACTGAGAATAAAGATGTTAGGTGGGCTCACCACAGGATACTGCAGGAGCCCAAAGAAGTGTGGGGCTTGTTACAGCAAGGGAAACAGCCATGGAGGGTTGTCTAGAGCATAGCTTCAAGGTAAGCAATCTCACTGCCTAGTTTTAGAGGAAGAAGTATGTTTTCCTAGAAAAATACAAGCCAGGTCTTAATAAAAAGATTTAAAAAAAGATAAAACTGAGGAATTTGTATTGCCTTCTCTTGCTCGTATTGTCTATAACTTACACTGAAATGTGTAATAAACTTTCATAACTACTGGATCAGTGTGATTTGAGAGGGAAATAGAATTTTGAGAAAATGTGCTCATCATACTGCTTGACTCCATGAAACACATGCATACAAAAAGAATGGAAGAAAGCAGGCAGAGTAAAACAAACCCAGCAGTGGGATCCCGGGAGGAGGGAACAAAAAGAATGGAAGAAAGCAGGCAGAGTAAAACAAACCCAGCAGTGGGATCCCGGGGGCAGGGAAGGAAGGGCTTGCTCTGTTTCCCTGTTTGTCACTTTCTTCATCTTCCAAATGCTTTACAGCCAGGATGCATGGATGGCTCTTGCACTAGGGAAGCAGCTAGGGACTGGGATACTGCTGGAAGTCCTGTGACCAGATAAGGGCAGGGCTTTTGCTTTTCTCCTAGACCCAAACACCTGGCTCCTACACACCGGCAGTAAGAATGGTTTCAGCCATCATTTATTGAGAATCACTGCCAACAAAAAAATAAATAACAAGAACGCAAAAATAAAATCTGCATGGTAGGGTGTGTGTGTTGCAAGAAAGGGCACTGTTTAATGTAGAGAAGGTAATACTATAATGACCTTACAGCATATGTAAGAAAACGAGCGCTTCTCTAATTCTCCAGTGTGGAGGGATGACATAGGTTTCAGCATGAGGAATGTTTTACTACAACAGGAAGTCATATTAGGCCCAAAAATACCAAGCTAAAAAGGAAAACACACAAAATATAATACTCATCACATCGCCCTGCCCCTGGCAGCCCCACTTTCCCTCCGAAAACATCAACCATGCTACGGAAGAGTCTGCAGGATGGAGGCTTTGTCCTAGCCGAACCACAAAGCTAAGCAAAATCCACAGGAAGGGGAGAAAACTCGAGAAGAGCTGTCGCTGTTTTCCAGGACTCTTTGGATTGGTGAAATGAGTCTATCCTAGCAGTAGGTAGTCAATGATGGCACATGTGTGGCACAGAAGGCCTCTGGCTCCCGAGTCTGGGAAGGAGGCCGAAATAAGTTTTAAAACCCCAGCAATGCAACATGCATATTGTTTTATAAAGTGTACCCAAAACTTCTTAGATAACTATTTCATTTTCCTAACCATGGCAGTACAACTTATTAGTCTAATAATATGTGTCAAAAATAAAGTGTTTATGTTTACCCTAAAATTAAAAATTAAAAACATCTCCAATATTTTAAATGTATTATTTTATTGTAAATAAATTTATAATATGATGCTTGAAAAGCCTATTAAAGTGAGGTCTAAAGTAACATTAGCCATTCTGAGTTACTCTAAACTAATCACCCCCACCTCTAAATGTCGTATTAATCACAGATCCCTCTAAGGATTGTTCCTTAAGAGAAAAATGGAAGCGAACGCAGCAAAACTGTGTCCCACATATGATAAACTGTAGACTATAAGCACAAATGTGACTAAGAATCAGACCTCAGCACCGGCATGTCAGGAAGGGCGCAGTGATATCCAGCAGCACTGTTACCAGACCTGCAGGGACCACACACAGTCTGACAGCTCAAATCCCCTCAGTGTGAACCACAGCCACATGGATTACAGAAGGTTCCTAAGTGTCAAAATCCAAACTCACTTTTTAAAATAAAAAATGGAAAATACTGTTTCTTATTTTAATTCAACATATATTTCTCAAAATAAGATCTGCTGTGAACATGACTTTAGGTTAAACTTTACATCATAGTTACCAGGTAAGAAATCCAGTACACAAAGAGAATGCCCCTCTGTGCATACAGCAGCAGAGGGAGTGTGCTCGGTAAACAGCAGGGGTTTGGCTATCAGTACAATGCTTGCACAGAAGCACCTGTTTGAACCCATGAAGAAAATCCTAAGCCAAAAATCTAATGTGCTTCTAGGTAATCTTGCCTACCTCAAAACAGTCACCGCCTTTAATGTGGTGAAGTCCAGTCTTAACCACCTATCAAGGTCTAATGGCAGTGGAAAAACTGTCAGGTTGTATTACTGAGGGATTTACACTAAATCTTTTATAGTATATTTAGCATGTGATAAAATGGTACAAAAATTGGTTTTAATAAAAGTCAAATAAGTATATTAAAGCTACAAGTATAATTTGTGCCTCAACTGCTAATATAGTATTTAAAATTAACAAACAAACATCCAGTAAACATTATTTTATTTTATGACACTCTGCATTAATACAATAAATATACAAAACTTCCAAACCACTGAAAACATGCAACATGAGAGGGCCACGTGGAGGGCGTTTACACAGAACCGTGACATACCACAGGGCAGCGCAGTAGTACACGCACCTACAAAATACACAGACGTCCCTAGAGAAATGAACCAAGCCCCAAATCACAAATCACCAAGCAATGATTTTCCAGTGATCAGATCCTAGTTTTAAATAAAATAGTCACCATTTAATATTGCAAACTAAAAAGTGACACGGATGCCTGTTCTCGGGAAGCTCATCTCATGGCTGTGGTAACATTGGTATGAAATAGAAAACATGAACCGTCTTTCACCCAATCAACGTGCATTGTTGACCGACTGTTGCCGAGAGGACAGCAGAGGAGGGTGTCAAGCTGCTCCCCCCGACCCAGCCGCAGACGCCACCATCGCTGTAACGCTCCTTTGTGTTTTCAAACAACATAATCTCGTTCAAACTTGTGGGAATCCAAACAACTGGATTGAAAACAGCATTTTCCTTGTTCATTCACAAAAACATAATGTGAGTTATAACTATTCTTTGCCATTTAATAACACTGCCTTTGGGGACCTCTACATAATGGAGAGGGAACATTCCCAATTTTGAAAAAAAAAAACCTCTATTTGTATTTTTAAAATCTCTGATGTGTCTCTTATTTGTACCTCAGAGAAGAATAAACATGGAATGGAAATATAAGTGCTGGTGTCTGTGTGCACTTTTATAGTCTTAGCGACCTCAGTGTCATCCAATGCACACTGAACGAAGCACAGACGCTCAGCAGCCACCTGAGCAGGCAAGAATGAAGGAGAGCTTACTGATCAGAACGATCCAAAACACAACTCCAAAGTCATATTCTAAATTCTACATTTTTCTGAATCAAAGAAACGGCTTTGAACTATTGTACTCAGAAAATTCCCAAGCAAACCTAACGTGGCCCTGCATGGGTGGATGTATAATCCGGTACCCAGAGACCTCTAAGAACTGCACCCCGGCTCTGCATGGAAGTCCCTCCTGACTGCAGCCTTGGGGAAAGGATAAAGCGACTCAACTAGGCAAGCCCATTTTTAAAGGATGCCCTGTCTTCGACAGTCCGTCTTTAGTTAAAGTCAACTTGGACAAGTCACAGACTATCATTCTGCAATCTAAAACTAGTGAGTCTTCCAAACTACAACAGTCTGACTTACAAATGTTCTTGAGACATCTAATCATTATTAAAAATGATTAAAAGTCTGAACCCACATAGGTTTGCGCTGCATCACAACAATGTCAATTTGATAATATTAATAATGAACACATTACCTGAACTTTCACTCTCTTGCTTGGTGCAATGTTTGTCTTAAAAGTAAAAGACAGGTACATTAAGAAATCAAGTATTAGAAGCATGAGGGCCTTTTATTTTTAATTCAACTAAAAGAGAAATCCCTTAAATACTGTGTGTTCTTTTTATTCAAGGGCTAGGCTAGCCTTTCATACCTGTGTCAAAATCAATTTCTCTCTCTCTCTCGCTCTCTCTCTCTCTCTCTCTCTCTCACACACACACACACACACACACACACACACACATACATACACACACAGAGAACTGCCAAACACAAATCCCAGTTCAATGAAAAAGATCCACCAGAAGAATATACCAAAGTTTCCATACAGTAAAACTTTACTATATGAATACTGAAAATTAAGAGGGGAGAAGAAATTATCACTATATTCTACTGCATCAATTCACTATCCTCTCTTTTTGGATAATGCACTGCACATTATATTAAAGTCTTTATACTCCAGTAAATTTTTACTTAAAAGAAACTATTACAGAAAATCATTTCTGATTCTATAAAGATCCCCAGATCCTACAACTATAAGCAGTACAGAACCCAAAATACTAATTCATTTCACTTAAGAGACACGGTGCCCATGCAAGGTCAGAGATTGTTATCAAAATATCAACTAGTCTAAAAATAAAATAAAAGAAGGTAAAATATACATTATTACTACAGAGCACACAGGCTCTTCTCTGATGACTGAACCTCATATAAAGCAAGCCAAGTTAAAAACACCCAAACTTTTGCTGACCTTGTTCCATCCATACTAATGGGGGGGGGGGGACGCAAAAAGAAACAAAGATGGTTTCATTTCCAATGTATAGTCTGTATCTCTACTGACTCCTGGAAGAACTTCTGTGGTTGGTATCGAGTGCCTTTTAAATCGTAAGTCACATATTCATTTCAGTGTGTCACCACTGAAATAATCTGAGGAATACCATCCCCCAAAAATATGGAGAATATTTATTTAGCAGATGATAGTTTTCTTCTGTGAGGGGCATGGAAATATTAAGAAACTATTAGGCAAAGTAATAAGACAAGGAAGTTTCTCTGGTTTTTAGACCATGCACATGTGGATAGGAAATACCCATGCGTTGTGTACTGTGTGTTTCCAACATAAAAATATCTGTAGAATACAGTAACTGGAGAAAAAGATACAGTCATAAGGAAATAGAGAACTGCTGTGAGGCTCGCTACATCTGGTTACCCTTGAAGGCATTCTGCGCCGCGCTGGTTGCTGCAGTTGAGGCCGCATTTGCAGCTGCTGTCTGAACAGTTTTATTGGACATCACTCCCGTTGCAAACTCTTGCTGGGCCTTCTCAAAGCTAGCACCTGTTGTGCGATACAGTCCATGTACCTGAAGAGGCAGAAACCAATTGGAGATGGTAAGATGCAATCCACACATGTGCTCCCAGCCGGCTGGACTTAATCAAACCATCCTGCTGCATTCGAGGACCACACAAAGGTCAGAGGGGAGATGGGGGAAGGAGAAAAGAAAACTCAAAATAAACAAAGGAGAGGAACACAGTGGGGCTAACAACAGCATAGTGCTTTCAAAGACAGTAACTGGCACCTTGCGTCAGCCAGACCACCCTTTTATATGCATCAGAGTCTCTTCACAAGCATTTGCTGTAAGACACCAATTTAACTGGTCAGCAGGACTCATTCATCACTATTCTGAATCATATGCTTCCAACTCTACACTCTCTACAAATGAAAACAACATCTCAAGAGCAGGTATTTCAGTAAGTTTTTACAAAATTAAAACACCTAGATTATCTTGGTAACTTCAAAAATTCTTTGGAAATATAAAAAGCCATTAGCAACTAGTGTATTAATATGTGCATGAATATTTATGGACAAGATCCCAAATTTCATAGAAGACATAATGGAAACCAGGTTCTCAAGGGAATCCAAACTGTACTGCCCACTTCTCACTTCCGTGTTACGCTGTCCCAACTCTTAGTAGTTACTCAAAAGGAGAGGTTCGGAGCTCCTGACAGCTCTGCGGCTTGTTCCTGTCTTACTAACTGGCTCCTTTAGAATATCTACCACTTTAGCCCTGAAACATTATCCAGTACTTTCTGATAGTTCACTGTAGAAACAGAACAAACACAATTAGAAACAACTGATAGAAAATCAAACCTATTTGTGGAAGCTAAGGATTTCTGTCTATGAAGAAGCTCAAGAGATATAAACTCTTTCAACACTTAGGCAACACAGGCTAAGAAACAACACATGGCAGAAACCAAGAGACAATGAGTGTCCAAGAACCAACAACAACCCACTCTAATTATGTAAGAGTTCAGAATGATAATGAATTCTCAGTGGTACATTTATTTTCATCAAAACGAACTAAGACTGCACTGCAGGTTTAGCAGGAGGTGAAGAGAGGAGTGGTCTGGCTAAGCCTCTAGTCCAGAGCTGGAACTATGCACAGACCTTCCTGAGGGCATGAACCGTCCATGAAGACCCTGACCCCTAGTGGTGACACGTTAGAGCTACATACTTCCAACAAGGGGGGTTGTGTTTTTATTTTTTATAATTTATTATTAATTTTTAAGTCAGTGTTGAAGAATCAGTTCTCGGATCTTGGTTTACATCAGAGGTAGAGAAGGTAAGAGAATTGATGGTTGCTTCAAATTATAATTTAGTTTATACTGCCATGTATTATATTTCGGCATACTTCATAGGTAAAAGACAGCACCAACTAACAGTGGAAACATGAGAGAGTCAACTAGTAACTTAATTATGGGTTTCAGATTAAACTAATATAGAGTACACATTAAAATATAGAATGTACACAATGCTGATAAACACTTGGACTTTATTTAGGAAATGATATTTATGCCGAATGCCTGGCATGTGGATAGAAGCTCAGTTATACAACTATCCCTTTCATGGAAAAAGGGAAAACCAGAAGGGGAGTTGATTGCCTGAGCCTGCACAGCACAGCCGCTGAGGAGTGAGCGGCCTGCAAGGCCTGACCTCCCAGTCTCTAATGCTGGACTGTTCTGGAGTCTTCTGCCCTTAGGCCTCTTCTGGCTCTCTCTAGCTCTCTCAGGCTTCACTCACCTCAGGAAGTCAAAACTTTTCAGTCTGAAAACCCAGCCTAGATTTCTTTGCTTGCTTCTACTTATCTGTCTAGAAGTCTACCAAGCTTATTCGCATACATGCTCTACTAGTACCTGGCCCCCACCCCCAGCCATGGCATCACCCTGACCTCAAACCTGCTCTTTTTACTTTGTGTGTGTTGTGCATGCCATCAAGCACCTATGAAGGTCACAGGGTAACTTTCAGGAGCTGGTCCTCTCCTTCTACCAGGTGGTTCCTGGGTCAGACACAGGTAGTGTCCTTGGCATAAGCACTTTTACCCACTGAGTCATCTCACCAGCCCCAAACCTGTTCTGAAATGGCCACCCCCTAGACCATATCATTGAGTAGAGCCCATCTAGAATGAACCCTGACCTTCTCCTCCCAGTGGGAGGAGTTAACTCAGGCTACCATCTCTACTGGACTCCAAACCCTACACCCTGGTCCACAAATCCTGTATCTACTTCAGAGTAACTCTTCTAAAGCTTGTCATATCAATCCAATCACTCTGCTCCCTAAAACTCTTCTTTGGTGAACTACAACTTTTTAAAGATTGAAACTTTTTATCAACGTCTCCTAATTTCCACACCCCTGCAGGATCTAAGGGTACAGTTGTGTTCCTGCTCATGTCGACCCTCCACCACGGATACCTAGAACTTTCTCAGCCTATGCACCAACTTGCTCCCCCATCTATGCTTGCCTTTTGCCACCCCGAATTTGCCACACTGTGTTCTCAACTGGTCCTGCTTATCCTGCCTGCTTCCCCCATTCTTATTCCCTATGTAGATGGTCCGTCATCACTGTCTCTCAGCTAAGGCTTTATCTTGGCATGTTAGCACCAATCTGTATTCCCAGCTACCCTGAAGTTGGGAAGCAGGAGGATGACCTGAATCCAGGGTTGAGGCTAGCTTAGCTATCCACAGTGGTACAAGATGGAAATGAAGGACTGCAGGCCTTGAGACGTCCCAGGGCCGAGCTTCAGCAGCTCCTGTGCTTGGTACAGAGAGTTCAGAGCTTCTGAGAGAAAAAGCAGCAACAAATCCAGAAACTCAGGCAGGAGTGCAGCTGAGCCCACAAGGCTCCGGGACATGGGACCCGAGTGGACACTCAGCAGATTCCAAGAGCAAAGCTCTTCAACAGAGCAACCAGAATTCCTTCTATATGTATTCCTGTACATGTTGTGAAACTGCCAGTGTCAAGAAAACCATAAAGGAAATCTAATGCTTAAATAATTTAATGTCTTTAAATTTTAAATATGGACAAAACCATGTAGCTGATGCAATAAATCTACGTGTATTTCCTCATCGAGCTAATAAGCTTCATACAGAAACTGATAAAGCACACATTCAGAAGCTTCTTCTGAATGATGGCACCAAAGATGTCTCTGATTTCTGAATACCTGCATATACAGCATGAACTATCCTGGATGGGAGGCAAGCTTAAACATGAAACTCATGTATTTTTTATAATACTGTATATACATACTCTGTATACTTTATATCTTTTAATGTATTTGCCTTAGATAGTTATAATCATAATCTCTCCTGTGAGGTCAGGTAGGAAACTTTCCTCTTATGGTACCTAGTCCAAGACCAAAAAGTTTCTTATTGTTGAGCATTTTGGGTTCTGGATTTTCAAGTCAGGAATGTTTTCATTTTTATGTCAATCATAAAGTATGATACAATTTTTAAATGTGCCTATAAACAACCATAAATCACAATCCTGGGAGAGCAAACATGCAGAACTCCAGAAGTGAGCCAGATTCCCCCTGATCTACAGCAGCGGGGCTGGGGGACCCTTGCCCAGGGCCACTGTGCTGTGTCCAGAGGCCGGCTCCCACTTACTTTTTTAAACATGACGAGCGAGATGACGGCGGATGCTGTGAAGAGCGCTGCGATGATTATCATCATGATCCCGACAGGAATGTTCTTGTTGAGACCAGTGAGGGACGAGATCCAACCACTAAGGGACAGCAGACATGCCATCAGGCAAACGAGTCAGTGCAACTCTCAAAGCAACAACAGGAGCAGCACTACGATGCCAGGCAACGTCAGCGCTCTTCACACGGGATAACTTCACGAGGCCTCCCATGAGACAGCACTTATTTCACAGATAAGGCCCACACTCAGACCTTCAGTGCTGGGTCCTACAGCTAAGAAGCCCCAGTCTGAGCAAACCACACTGAGCCCCAGGAGCTCATTAGATGACTGTATGTTTTAATATACCATGTCTTAAAAGTGTAGGTTCTTCATTGCATTTTAAATGCTCATTTTCAAGTAGGGAAGAAAATATATGCAGACCACACACCCAAGAAATGCTTCCTTCCCTTTTAGAATACAGACTGCAGGTCACAGCTCAGCATTAACGCTTCCCTGTGAAAGGCCACCAGCACATTCACATGTCTGACCACTGAGGACTAGCAGGAGTGCTGTTTTGGAAGGTTATGGACATTTCAGGAGGCAGGAACTAGCAGGAAGAAGTAGGTCACAGGCCACAGGCCCTGTAGGCTTATCTCTGGCTGCCTCCTAGCCCATTCTCTGCTTCCTCAGCCACCCAATGAACTTCGTTATGACAGACTGACAGACAGACATCTCCTATGCTCTACCTTCCTTGCCAGACAGACTGAAGTTCCTGAAGCCATGACTTATGACCCCGGACACTTACTCTCTTAAAGGACTTTTCAGCATTTTCTCACATAGATGAGAAAAGTAATTATTCAGTCACATCAAAATCAAACACAAACCAAAACAATAGGAAAAAAAATACAACCCAACAACTGAAAATAGGCAAATATTGTGAGACATTTCAACAAGAGTACGTAAAAGTTAAGGCAAATAAACAATAAAAAAGATGTCAACGTATTAGTCATTAGATAAATGTAAATTCAAACCACAGCATCAGGATGGACATGGATGCCCCCATACACACACACACACACCACACACACACACACATACATGCACACGCACACAGACACACCACCCCTATCAGATTGGCTAAGATAAATGACAGTAACAACGCCCACTCTCAGCTCACAAGGACGTGGAGGCTAAATCTCTCACAAGTGTTAGAGGGAATAAAAATGTACAGCTTCTCTAGAAAATTTGTCAGTTTCTTTAAAAAGCTTAACACATGATTCCTAAATGAATTAACAAAATGTAAATACTGTTAATCATAGAAATGAAAACTAAGTGTGCACAAAAACCTGGCCCCAAATGCTCACTGTGGTTTTTTTAGAATAACTCCCAAAAGAAAACAATTTAGGTGTCATTCAACTCTTAAGTGGTTAAATAAACTGTGGTATAGCCATACCATGCAATACACTCAAGAATAAAAAGAAGGGGCTGGATATTGATAACCAGTGATAAAGAGCCCTGGTTGATCTTCCAGTGGACCTGGGTTCAATTCCTAGCACCTACATAGTAGCTCACAACATCTGTTAACCCCATCCCAGGGGCTCTGATGCCCTCTCCTGGCCAGTATGGGCACTGCATACGCATGATGCACAAACTACAGACTCAGGCAAACATTCATACACATAAAATACAAATAAATAAAATCTAGAAAAATTAAATAATAAAAGAAATTAGGGCTACATGTATCTGAGGGGGAAAGTCAACATCTAAACTGTAAGATTATAACCTCTTATAATGACAGGATGACACACAGGATAAACAGCTTATGGATGGATGCCAAGGGTAAGGCAGAGGGCTCAGGAGTCAGAGCGGCCATACACAAAGCAGCAGGACTCCTCAGTGATGGAAATGTTCTGTCAGCGTTACGGTTCTTGCTTTTATATCTGACTGTATTTTATCCTACTGGGGACTGGGTGAAGGATGCCTGGGAACACTCTATGGTCTTACAGCAACATGTCAATCTACAATTACCTTCATTCTAAATATGACTAAAAGCACCTGAGTTACACAAGGCTCATCAGAAACAGGGCCTTTCCATTAGCAGACTCTGTGGTAGCCACACACGGACTGTTACGTTCAACTTCACATTTCTCTTTACATTACAGTTATAGTAAGAAACTGGTGAGACTACTTCAACTTCTAAAGAAGTGTGTGAGTACACCATTATAACATTGCATGTTTGTTTGTTTGTTTGTTTGTTTTCGAGACAGGGTTTCTCTGTGTAGCCTGGATGTCCTGGAACTCACGCTGTAGACCAGGCTGGCCTCGAACTCAGAAATCCGCCTGCCTCTGCCTCCCAAGTGCTGGGGTTAAAGGCGTGCGCCACCACTGCCCAGCATAATACTGCATTTTTAAAACATCTAAAGTATTTCCTCTTGTTCACATATCAGATTATTTAAGATAATAATTAAAATAGCTATTTCCAAGAACTAGCTGGAAACAACTAAAGAACACAGTCTGTTAGTGTGTATGCCGACTGGGTACTTTACAAACTGCCGAGAGCTGTCTGCCAGCCACCCACCCCCATGCAGAGGCAGCATAAAGGCCTCTGGTTCTATGCTCACTGCAGCTTTAGCTAACAGACACAATGGCAAACAGCAGTACAATGCATGCCAGTGCACACCTGTGCATACCCATGCATGCAGAAGCTGGAAGGAGGGCAGTTTGCCTAAGGTAGAAAGGTGAGGCGGTATTTTAAAGACACACCTCTTCCACCCACTATCTCACTCAGGAGTGCTCCCCATGGAGAAAGAAATAAAGAGGTCTGTATTACCTTCTAGCCTGAATCCCAAAACAAACGTGTGTGTATGCGCGCACCCGTGGGCCTGCACGCTTATCTGTGCATGTATGTGTTTATCTAAAATAATGCTTTACACTTAACTTGGACTCCTTTCCTTCAGTTCCTGAAGCTCTTCTCCCCAGGCTGACCGGCCCTCTCTCAGGTCTCCTTTATACAACCCCTTTCAGTGCCCAATGCCAGCACATTTTACTTCAAATAAACACCTCATGCACTGTTTTTTTACATCACAGCATAATCTTTGAAGAAAACAGTTTTTTCAAAGTTTTGTTCTGGAACATTTTCAGTTGGGTTTTCAAAGCACTTTTGTTTTTCCGTGTTTGTTTTTGTCAATCTGACTTTCCTGTTAACTCACTAGGATAACCAAGTTATACTAGTCCTAAATTAGCAATTTAAAAACAGTAAATAACTCACCAATTTCCCCAGTTATGAAATCCTGCAGCCTGGAGCACGTGCACAGCAAACTGACAAATATAGACGAAGAAGAACACAAAGAACCTGAAGGAACTGTCACTCCTTTAAAAGAAAAGGGGAGAATGTCATTCTTCACAGCACCTTCCTATACACACACACACGCACACACACACACACACCAAACACTTGAGGACCCAAGCCCTACTTCAGCACCCTCTGTGCAAACCACCAGGACATCCCTGGGTCACTCCACTGTGCTTTCAGCTACACCAGAATCCATCCTGACAGAAAGTTCAGTTTTCCTTTTATTTTTAAAACAAAACAATAACAACAACAAAAAGTTTCTCTAGTGTTGTACATGGCTGTTTTGCCTGTGTATCTGGCTATGCATCCTGTGTGTGTGTGTGCCTACCTAACCCTTGGAAGCCAGAAGAAAGAATCAGATCCCCTGGGACTTGAATTACAAATGCTTGTGTGCTGGAAATCAAGCCTGGGTCCTGTGGAAGAACAGTCAGCGCTCTTAGCCACTGAGCCGCCTCTTGAGGCCCTACTTTTCCTTTTTTAATGAACGACTTTATAAATCAACACAAACTACTTAAAACCTAATTTGTAAGTATTAATATGTATGTATCTGGACTTTACCCCATTGATACTGAGAACTTATCTTAAGCTTCCGCCTCTCTCCTCTGACCCAGTCTCCTGTCATTCAGGCTTGCTGGGTTTTTTAGAATTTATGAATGGGATGTATGCAGTCCGTGCTCTTTCTTGGTCTGCTTCCTGCATTTAGCAGTGACTCAGTCACCTGTGTTTGGCAGGTGCAAGACTCCAGCCCCTCCCACCGCTGCTGAGTGGTGGGAAAGTGTTGCTTCCAGCTTTTCGCTATTACAAATCATGCTGCTATGAACATTCATGTGTGAGTCTTCATAATGACACAGGATTCCTTTTATCATGGGTAAATACCTATAAATGCATGTGGTAAATATACATTTAAGTGTTTAAGAAACTGCTGAATTATAAAGTCGTTCCATTTCACACTCCAGTGAGAGAGTCTTTCAGGTCCTCTGAATCTCATTAACACTTGCTGTGGTCACATGTACAATCCTAGCACGTCTGATTGTGATGGTTAACTGGGTTGGGCTGACAGACTTCTGGGAGAGGTCAGTAAAGCAGACCTCAGGCTTTTCTAGGGAAATTATATCATGACTAATGAATAGTTTAAGCCCTAAGCCAGGGTTGGATTCAGAATCTGAGTGGACTGTTGGGCGATGGCGGAAGTGAGGACTGAGGAAGCCGGTCACAGGAGCATGCTGGTGGCTTTATCCTGCCTCTCCTGTTACTGTCCACTGTGCCTCCTGGCGGCCATGATGAGAACTGCTCCCTCATGCCCACCATTATGAACCCAAAATACTGACACCACAAGCAGGCCTTTCCCTTCAGCTGGTGCTTTGTTACAGCAACAAGAAAGCTAACAATGCTAGCGCCATACTTAGCTCTGATCTACACGTTCTTAGTGAGTAATGCTGTTCACCAACTTCATTTTATCCATAGCTCTTTGTTAGACTGTTAAAATCTTTTTCTGGTGTTTTAACTAGATTTTCCTCTTTATTCTGGATTTTTGAGAGTTTAAAAAAATATTCTGGATATACAAGCCTTTAATTAGATACGTGTTTGGCAAGGATCTTCTGTAGTCTGGGGTTTGTCTTTGCAATCTGTGCATATGTGTGAGGAAGCACTTGAGGCATCCCAAACGTGTCTTCTGAGGAAGTTGTGCCTTTTTATGAATTCCAATGTGACTAGTCATTCCTTTTGGTATTTGACTAAAACAAACAAACAAACAAACACTTTAGCAAAGCCAAAGAGATGAAGACCTTCCCTCTCCCCCAGAAGTTCCCTGCCTTGCAGCTCTGCATCTAGACGTGTGTGTTTTGAACTGACTTTCTGAAAACACGGTATAACATGTTGTTCTCTCAAAAAAAAAAAATCCCTCCTTATTTCTGAAAATAAGGTATGGTTGAATCTTCTTCACACAGGGATAGCCAAGGGTTCCAGCAATGGTTCTTAAACAGCCTTTCTGAGCTGCACTGCCTTTGAATCTCTCTCAAACATCAAAGTTGGGTGCTAGATAGAGTCCCAACAGCTGCCCTTATAGAGGTTCAGTTCCCAACGGTCACATGGTGGCTCACAACCATCTATAATTCCGGTTCCAACGGATGCCATGCCCTCTGCTGGCCTCTGCTAACACAGCAGGCACACAGTGCACGCGACTGACTTTACATGTGGAAGGGCTCATTTTCATTTTTAGACTGTTCATCTGTTTATGGCACGAGTGTCGTTGACACGAAGACATCACTCTGTGACCACTGGCGCGTTCTAGCAAGTCTTCCAATCAGGGAGTGCGTATCACGGTGCCGTCTTGACTGTTCTTCTGTAGATAGACTTTAAATATTTAAGGCTTTGGTATTTCCATACATCTTTGGAAAAACAATGTCATATTTCTAGAAAACAGCCTGCTAGGATTTTGACTGGGGTTATGCTGCAGATCTGCAGGATCATTTTGAGAAAGTTCACACCTTAGAAATACTGAGTCTTCTGATCCATGTAGAGATATTTATCTCCATGTATATTTTCTACAGAGATGATTATGGATCTATAAATACAGTTTTCCTTCTTTTCAGATCGGGATGCCTTTTGTTTCTTTCTTACCTAATTATACTGGCCAGGAATGCTGGGAATTTCTTGACCTCAGCCTTACACATAGTACCTCATATTAGCTGTGAGCTACAGTTTTTAGATTGTACAGATCCTTTGCAGTGTGAAAAAAAACACTCTTCTATTCCCAAATGTATTCACTGTTTCTAACATAAAGAGACATTGGATTTTTGTCAAATGTTTTTGCTATATTAGGATAGTCATTCAATTGTTAAATTTTAGATTATAATGTGGTGGACTTTCTAATATAAAACCAACCTTGTAAGTCCAGTGTTGAGGCACATGCCCATAAACCAGTATTCAGGAGGCTGAAGCAAGAGGACACCAAGTTCAAGGCCAGCCCAGGCCACATAAGTGAGACTTTCAAGAAAAGCGACCCTCGCACTTTAGGAAGAGGCTCCAGCCACCTGATTGTGGAGTAGCATCTTTTCAAGTCCGGCACCATTTTAATCGCCTTCAGTTTACCTTGTCCTGCCCAGATCATTTCCAAGGCCCAGATCACTTTACTTGCTAAAACTCAACCCCAGACTGCTCCGCAGACAGGAAAACACATGACAGGAGTAAGTCCTCCAGCTCCTTACAGTCCCTTCCTACTTCACAGCATCTGTCAACCTTCCCATCTGAGTTTGGGAAGAGCCAACATCTGGATTCTGGAGACTCACACCTGTGTTGAGACCTGGCCCACCCCATCCCCGCCCACTCAGTGCTGTCTTCTCCTCTGCCCCACAAGCCTCCACTCTCACAGTAGGGTCTTGTCGTCAGTGAATACACACGCACCACAGAGTCTCCTCTATGCTCCTCAGAAAGAAGGGCTTCAGATTGACGCTTTCCATTTTGCCACAGGAGGCTGATTTACAAGTGCTGGAGTTCTCAGAGATCAGTGAAATTTCCCTGTTTCCAGCAGAGTGTCCTGCCTTCAAGGCCAGAAGGTGGTCCATATTCCTCAGGAAGACTGAACTCACTTCCCACCTTCACACCTGCCTGCATCGCCCCGCAGCTGCGCCTTGTGCTGCCGGGTAGCCTGGGATTCTCTAAGGATCCTCCTGCCGAGGGCCACATAACTTGGTCTTTATTTTTTCCATTGCTAAGTTGAGTTTCCACTTCCATTAGATCAGTTAGTGCTCATGTGCCCGTGGCTGGTGCTGTTGTTAGTTGCTGTTCTATAGATGGAACTCAGGGCCTAGTGCATGGTAGTCTGACCCACCAGCTTTATATCTGACCTCCAACAGGAATAGACTATGTCTTCTTTCACATGTGTATGTTCGTATGCTATATACTAAGTGCTTATAAGTCACTTAGTCCTTGATACTCTTTAGGCTCTACAACCTTTGTAAACATCATTTGGAACAAAGTGTCAACCATTCCTTCAGACTAGACGCTCAGAGCTTCTGTCTGTTCCTATTTATTACTATGCTGTGATTTCACAGTGGATCCAGGTACTTCAGAGACACACACACAATGGCTAAACTTACATTGGAATATTTACTACTATTTATCTCTTGAATAGTTGTTTAACTAACATATATATTTGATGTTATTACAACATTCTGTGCCAGCTCAGGGTGAGCAAAATAGATCGTGTTGTTCCAGCAGGCCTGGTGATGACTCTGCAAAGGCCAACACGTGGGCCAAGAAGAAAGAAGGCTGTGTCAGGGCTTCTTGCCAGTAACAAGAAAGCTTATAGTTTAGGGCAACAGGAGCAGAATGGGGGATAGACAAGTGTCCTCCGACCCATCCGCCATGAAGGCTGGAGATCATGGGGAGACACAAGAGCTGCAGCATCCACTGGGACTCTTTCCTGTTGTAGAGAATCTTCAAAACGTAGAAAATCATATTGGGTCCTGCCCTGTAAAGAAGCTTTACAGTAACAGAGGAGATGGAATATAGGAAATAAGAAAATAGGAAATCAAGAAGCAGTCTAAGCTGAAAACAGGACAGGAACGAAGTGATGTGGCAGCCAGGAGCAAAGAGTATTTTTTAAAGGATTTTCAATATTGAAAGTAGAAAAAAAATGAAAGCAGAAATTTGGCTTGGAAATTCAAAGATTTTTTGTGACTAAGGAGTTGGGTAGGGAAGGAGAGCTCTGTGTAGAGAAGCAGCAGAGGGAGGAGGGAGAGGAGGCTCCTTTGACAGTTTGTGAAGGGAAGGAGGAAGGTAGAAATCCTGGCACTGAACCAGGGAACACAGTCACGAGGCAGCCCTGCTACAGGACTTCCTTACTGCAGGTCCTGCTCTTCCCTCAACTGTGTTTTTCAGTCCGTTCTTTAAAGTTAGTTGGATTCTTCGTCATGTAAAGTTATATATACACTAGTTGATAGAATGCCACAAGGGAACACTGAAGAAGCAGTGGTCTCCCGGCCCTCATCACAGGTCCCTACAGTTGCAGTTCCCAGGCACCAGTGAGCGTCACTGGTCACTGGGGGCCACACCCTGCATAGCTTACCCTGCTGCTTCCTAGCATTATAGGAACTGTGACAAGGGAAGACCTGGCTTTCCTTTCAAATCTTCCCCGCTTCTGCCCTCATCCCAGTAGATACCCACGTAACCACGGGTTACCAGGAGTCCTGTTCACTTCTGCTCTCATCCCGGTAGATACCCACGTAACCATGGGTTACCAGGAGTCCTGCTCACTTGTTGAGCCCATGTGATTCCTGAACAGTCACAGCTGATGCATAAAGGATGTGCTGTTACCAGGACTGCTCGCTCACATTTCTGCTTCAGTGGATTTAGAAATTATCTTTTGACAATGGTTTTTATACATACCTATCAGTACTTGATCACTAATCTTCTCCTTAATGTGTAAAATTCTTTTTAACCTGTTCAAATTAATTCTATCAATTTTATCTCCCAGGAACTTTTTCTCTTAAAACCTGACCAGCTTACATCTGAGCTTCTGGAGCCAGGCACCAGCTCGCACAGAATGCAGAGATCCTGGAAACAGCTGACACAGAAAGCTCTGCTCCACTGTCTGCAAGCGTCCAGTGCTGCCATTCAAAACTAATGTCATCCTGATGGTTTGAAAATGAGTTAAAAAAGCTTCCTCCTTTATAGAGGGAAAAACCACAGGGATCAAAAAAAAATGAGAGGGAAAAATAGATTTTTCTATTATATTAGCAAGAGTTTTATTTAAAAGACTATAAGCAAAGGAGAAAGAAATAATCAAAGATTGATACAGTTGACTTTCTCAGAACCTATAGGCTGAAGTCTATACCTGGGCAGGGCATTTCAAGTAAGATGAGATCCCGGGCTCCAGCTCCTCAAGAGACTGACAGGGCCACGGGTGGGGAGGTAAGGGAATGGGGCATAGCTTCACTTATAAAAGACAGTTATGACTCACCAGTTTGGATAAACAGGAAGTAACCACATGATCGTGACACAGACACAGAAGTATCTAGAAAGTTCCAGCACCACTCATGATGAAAGGCCCCATCAGCTAAAGACAGAGGAGAGTATCCTCAAGCCAACAAATACATCAACAACCAAGTCTGCAACTTCCATCACAGTTGACGCTTTCTTCCCCTAATACCTGGAACAAGACAGGGCTGCCACCCCACCTTTGCTCTCACTATTCCAGAAACTGCAGCTGGTTACTAAGGCAACAGAAAGAGGGCAGAATGAAGAAGCAAGGCAGAATGGTTAAGAGAACCCATCTGGAGGAAATGAGAGAAACTGCACTGCACTGGATAATCCAGAGACGTGCGTAGCTGTGAGGAAGGTTAGGTACCACCTGACCAAGTTCCAGCACTCTCCTCTCAAAGCCATAATCGCAGGTGTTCCACAGAAAAGAATGGCTTCATGGTCACATCGCCAGGCACACTAGGCACCTGGAGTCTAAGAGATGAGGAAATGAAGGACTTTGCCTACCTGTACTAACTGTCTACTCTAAAACCAATACTAATTAGCACCCCACAGACTACTCATTTAGAAAATGCATCGCCCTGTATATTTAACTAGTGATTGATTGGATGTAAAATAGTATCCTTCATTTTATAGCCTAAATAGGTTTTTAAATGACACTGTCTTTGGAAAAACTAAAGATGACTGACTGTATACAGAAAGGGTTTCCCAAGCTGCTGAGTAAAAGTGCTTCGTGTGATCTTCCCACCTGGATTGATCTTAAAACAAAAGCTGTAATCACCAGGTATAACTCATAATTTAGACATCTAGGGGACAGAGGAGTAAACAGCGAAGTTTTTCCTAAAGTGACGCATAATGCATGTCATTCAATGTTACGTGTTAAAATCTAAGAATGTTTTCTTTCATTAATTTTCATATTTGACTTTCAAGAGAAACAGTGGTTTATGAATTTTACAATCCAACGCATATGCAGGCAAGCTGTATTAGTACTTTCAGAAAGTATGTTATAGCATAACAAAACTGTTAACTTTGTATTATGCTTATATTTATTTACTGGGGAAGGAGGCATGTTTGCCAGGGTGCACACGTGGAGGTCAGAGGACAACCTGCAGGAGTCAGTTCCCCCCATCTACCATGTGGACCTGGGTATCGAACTCAGGTCACCATGTTTGGCAGCAAGCGCCTTTATCCATTGAGCCATCTCACTAGCCCTGATAATGATAAAAAAAATTCATGAAAATACACCAGTTTTCCCTTTGAGGTGTAATACAGATTATTCATCTCATGAGGTGTTTTTAGCAGGGGCTTGCTCTGTAGCCTCAGCCTGACATAAACCATGTAGCCCAGGCTGCTCTGCCCAGCCTGATATAAGACATGTAGCCCAGGCTGGTCTATTGCAATCCTCCCACTTCATCCTCCTCATGCTGAGACCCCAGGGGTGAGCCATCACCCACACACTTCACAAGTTTTAAAGCACAGATTTTAAACACACACTTTACCTGAAAGCTCCGTATAGCGGTCTGTACCAACAGACAAATGAACAAGGAGTAAACAGCAAGAACCAGAGGATGCTCAGTCCAAAATCAACTGCTCTTGAAGAATCAACACAAAACCAAGCCAAGCATCCGAAGATGTTCAGAAACAGGGTTACGGCATGGACTGTGGGATCAGAAGATGAAACGGAATGTTTACATTAGAGTCACACAATCCATAAGAATCACAAATGAAAACACATTTCCTCAGAGCAAACATGTTCTTCCCAGGCTTCCCTCGCACGTGCTTCAGACACTGCTGCTCCTTACACAGGCTTTAAGGCACAGCGTGGAGCAGCCCCATAGCTAAGACCAACCCTGAGGTTTGCTTTCCTAAGAAGAAAAAAGGTGGTGAACTTCTTGAGGCAGGGCCCAAGAGGGCACACAATGACTGCTCAAACACAAAGCAATAGACCCAGGAGCTGACATCTCTTCAGGGTCTCATTTGTAAGGGAAGACCACACATTAGAACTGGGATATAATTAACATACAGCAACAGTGCTCATGTCTGTGGTGGTCTGGGAGGATTATGTCGTCCTCATGAGAGAGCCATTTTTAAATGAGGGGAAATACTTTAATAGAGGATTCCAGTTATTCACTTCACCCCCACTAGGTAACACAGTGAAATATAGGCTGTGGCAGGGCTTCCCTTTGCTTAACGGAAATAGATCTGGGCAACACTTCACATGCTGCCAGCAACGACTCTCCCTAACAAGTCACAACCCCAGTGTAGCAGCCAGCAATGCTGTGAGCCCTCAAGAGCCATACTTACCTCTATAACTGCTGTTTACACTTACTTTTATTTTATGCATTCGGGTGTTTGCCTGCATGTATGTGTATACATCATGTGTATGCACCATGTGTATGCACCATGTGTATGCAGGGCCTGCAGAGGCCAGAAGAGGGCACTATCTCCCGGAATACAGATGTTCTGAGTTACAATGTGGGTGCTGAGAACTGGTTCTGGGGCCTCTACAAGAGCAGCAAGTGCTCCTAACGCCTGAACCATTTTCCCCACCCCACTATAGTTATAAGTGACTCTGCAATAAAGCATTCATAGGTAGAATTTTACTATGAAAAATAAATTATCATAAAATTAAAATATTGTAAAATGCATATTATCAATAAAAATATCAACTAACTATGGCTTAGATTAAAAAATAAAAGACTATTAAACTTACTACAAACTCAATATACATTAAAAACTAATTTTAAAATCTCTTCACAAATCAAAAATAAAAAACTTTATGGAGCAGGATAAAACCACTCATTCTGGTGCCCTGATGCATTACCATCTGAACACTAAACAAGTTAACTATGGCAAAGGGGCTTCAGAGCCTGAATGCAAAGCTACTGCAGCCTTTAAGGGCTTATAGTTTAAAAGCCCATTTCTTCCCATCACAGAAAACTACTAATTACTCAATTCCTACTGGGACTTTATATTCTCAGGAAAGCTGGCTTTCTAATCGAATGACTCAAAAATCCTTTTTCCTCAAAATAAAGAGTTCTAAGACCTTAAAAATAGAACTGAAATTCCTGTGAAATCTGAAATTATTTTGTAGTTCTAAAGGACTTCTGGCTGTCTTAAGGTTTTTGTTTTTCTTTAATGTTAGCATATTCTAACTTAAATTTTAATCTTTAAGGGAATAGCTTTTTACAGAAAATAAAGACCATGTATGTATGTATGTATGTATGTATGTATGTATGTATGTATGTATATATGTATGTACATATTTTAAAGTCCACAAAAAAATCTTCAAAGTACAGAAAATATCAATATAACCTTTTGGAATATGTTACATTTTTTCTAGATTTTTTAAAGCAACCATGACCAGTAAGTCACCAACTTGTACTTGATAAAACCAGCCTGTCTAGGTACCTAGTGAAGCGCTGTCCACCTGTGCAGGGGCAGGTGATATGAACAAGGTGCTATGTATACATACTCTGCCATCTGTGCTGCTAATCTCAGTTTCTATGCTGGCAGATGCTGAGTACAGCCCAAACACTAAACAAGTCTTTAAGCCACATTCACAGATTTATAAGATAAGCTACACTTTTTTTATGTGAGAGATTTATTCACTTTAGGAGGGACTCAAAGCCAGGATTAGTGAGCCTGAATTTGCAAGTGCCAGTACCATATGATTCTTGAAATACAAATCACAAAAGAAGCAGCCACAAGCAGCGCAGCTCCTTTGCTACCTGGTGGCTGGGGTCCACACTTTGCTTTTCCTTTTTTTCTATAATTCAAAAACACATTCAGAAAGGTCGAGCATCACTTCACAGTGATCATTCTGATTGCTATGGTTCAACCGCAGCTTCCATTATCTGTTCCCATTAAGGGACCGCTGAAAACACATTTTCATTGTATTCATGAAAATGGAAATCACTTCTTCATCTTAGTATTCTGTGGATGGCACACTATGGAATCTAGCCCTGGGCTTAGAACCAAAGTATCCAAATAGCGTGATACACAGTGGCTTGTTATATAATGTTGGACCAGTTGGACACTGTTGACAAGTGCCCCAAACTGTCCAAGCTTTGGCTTCTCTAAGACTATGTAATGTAATACTTGCTAGAGGATGTGGTTGGGGCATGAAATGCATCTCCAACAAATGCTAGCAACCACTATGAATGAATGAATGAATGAATGAATGAATGAATGACTATCACAGCTTCAGTCACCCTGAAATGCACCCAGGTTGGTAACTTTAGAATTACCACACTCAAGCAGTCTCTGCTCTTCAAGTGTAGGTAAACCCCTGAGCTGCTCAGACTTCATTACAAGCAATGCTTCTTTAAAACAGACTCCTAACAAGATATTTAGTTCTTCTCCAAAAGAGATTGGCAAATTAAGGGAGACTAAGAAAAATCTACAATTACCTGTATTACTAGGAGATACTCTGAAAGTTATGCATTCTCAAGACCCAGCAAACCTTTGAAACCATCAGGGTCAGTAGTTATCAGCCACACTAAAGTTAGCCATCCTTCCTACTCATCCTCCATTTGTTAGGTCTACTGCAGGATTTTCTTTCTACCATAAAAATTAAGCTAAAAGACTTATGCCTAAAATACTATGTCTATTTTTAAAATTCATATACAAAAAATACAAATGCATATATGACACATAGAAATATATTAATTAAAACACAGGAATTGGTTAGTATGCACATATAGAATTATACTCTAAGTATCAAACATACAGAATACTACTGAGACCAAGGCAAAAATCTCAACAAAAAACTAAAAGTTTGAAAGGAATAGCCAGCTGGGTGTGGTGCTGCACACCTTTAGTCCCAGCTCTCATGGGACAGACATTGGTGGATTTCTATGTTCAAGGTCAGCCTGGTCTATGTGGCCAGTTCCCAGACAGCCAAGGCTACATAAAGAGACCCTGTCTCAAAAAAAAAAAAAAAAAAAAAGAGTAATATCCACTGTAATTTTTTTGACTATTGAAACAAATGTTCTTTTAAAACTATAACAAAAGTATGTCCATAATCAATTGATTTTCATATGCCAGCAGTGAAGAGATTATTACACTCACTTATAGAAGCTGGACATTCAAGCCTCACTATTGTACAGTAAAACTCTCACACTTCGGAAGGAAGGTACCTACAGATTACGTCCTCCCCCATCTGTCCAGCAGACGAGGAGCCACACTGCCGCCTTCCCTCCTGACAGGCTCTCATCAAATAGGGCTGAGGCTGTTTGGAACACAAGTCAGGGGATGGGTGGGACGTCTGTGTATTCACAGCAAACCTTTAGAAGCCCAACACTCTTTTCAGATTTTAGAGTTGTAATTATACTCAGACATCACACACATGCCAGCGGAAAACACACTCTGATTTGCTGTTTAGTTAAACTGCCCCATACTGAGCAATTTCAAGAACAGAAGAGTCTACAGCCTCTTGAGGATGAAAGGTAAGCTATGCCCAGAGTAACGTTTAAAGTCACAGTTCACACTGTGGCATCTTCTGACTCTTCCTAAAAACTGCCAGAGTGCCCACATTTAACTGACTCTGAATGGTGCTCCTTCACATAAAAAATAGGAAGCACTGTGCCAAAGCAAGCCATGCCTAGATAACGTTCTTCAGAGGAAAGAGGTCTCTGGGAAATCTTCCCATGTGACAGACAAGCTACCTTTCAGTCAGCCAGTGTTGGTGTTCCATGTGTGGGCTTTCCTCTGCCAAACACTTGGACTGCTATCTGTTACACAATTTTTGTATCTAAATATACTGTTCAACTCTGAAACTATGACTATTAAGATCTATATGAAAAGACATTTAATATGCATTTTAATATATCATTTCCTAAAATGTGTCTATTAATAATGAAAATATGAACTCAAGATATATATATATATATATATAATAAATATAAATGTTTTATACTCACACATCCATAAGTAGTACATAAGTTTTACTGTCTTTTGGAATTCTACAGGAATGTCTACAGAAAAATCTTGATAGAAACAAGGTCCCACAGGGAAATTGCTAGGAAGAGGTGGCCAATTATTTTTTCTCCCTGTAAGTAAAACAAACAAACAAACAAACACATTATTCCAACAAACACATTCTCTTCCTCTACTTTGGTTCTAAGTAAAGCACCTTGTTTTAGTAGATGGCCTATAAAACACTAACAGTGCTTCTCTCTTACAACTTTGAAAGCCAAGCTTACATTTTTAACTTTTTTTCCTCAGAAACTTTTTTTTAGAAACAATAAATGGTAAAATAATTTCCCAGTGTCATATCATACCATGTCCAGCATGTTTCTATATAGGAGAATCCAGAGACAAACCCTAAGAGTCGCCTAAAACGGACTCATTTCCAAGTCTGAGCGCCTGGCATCTGTGGGGGGAACCATCTCATTCTTAAGCTTGTTTTCAATAGAATTCTGCTACATTCCTAACTGATCTGCAGGGGAAAGACAAGGCTCTCAGCAATACAAGACTGGCTAAAGGATCAGATCTGGACATTTCAAAAAAAAAATGTTATCTAAGGAAATCAGAACACTGTGAGAAAACATAGGACAGTCTGCAGGTCGTGTGAAGGGACAGGGATGCAGCAGCCTGCAGGCTGGAGAGCCCAGTGATCGGTGAGGAGAGGCTGTGTCTGAGTAAACAGAGACTGACAGTGAGCCTTGGGAAATAGAGGCAAGAGCAAAAATTAAACATAACACACAAATTCAGACAAAAATGTAAATAAAAAACAAAAGTCATTTCTTTCTGCTTCCTCCTCCTCTTCTTCCTTCTCTTCTTCTTTGTGTTTGCTTGCTTGCTTGCTTGCTTGCTTGCTTGCTTGCTTGCTTGCTTCGTTTTTTGAGACAAAAAAAACCAAGCTTTTCCTGCAACTCACTCTATAGACCAGGCCAGCCTTGAACTCACAGAGATCCCCCTGCCTCTGCCTCCTGAGTGCTGGTAAAAGTCACTTTCTCATACTAAATATACTATATAGCTTTTAAAATTCAATTATACATATTTTTACTTATCTAAACATTTTTCATAAAGAAAGTATAACCTGTTATTTATTCTCCTTAACATATGTCCTCAGTTACATTAATAATATTAAAATTGGGGGCCAGAAATGTAGCTCAGTGGTAGAGCACTTGCTCAGCATAAGGCCCTGGACTGGTCCTCCGGGAATACACATGATACATCATACTGTGTAAGAAGCACCAAGAATGGCAATGAGGAGTGGAGACTCTGGAACCAGGAGGTCTCAAGCCACTTACTGGCTGGTGGTCTTAAGAAGTGGAAACTTCATTTCTTCAGAAAGTGACTAACTGGCTACACTTCTCAGTGTGGTGCTGAAATTTAATGTGAATTACAGGAGGGAAGTGCTACAGGCTACCAACATAAACAAAATGTAACTATTAACTGTCTCTCTGTTACTGTCTTTACTAAAACATCTTTCATATCTTAGAGAAATAATTAGTGTCAGTCAGAATGCAGAAAGTAAGACACATGATCATTTTGTCTCCTATAGAGGCATCTGTGATTCTGCAAGCACAGAAACAACCAGGTAAACATGTCCCTGAAAGGGCCAGGACCTAAGCATTCTAAGAGATGGGAGGTTCTCAGCATTACTGCTGCTGTCCTTGTTTGGGGTTTATCCCCACTGCAGACGTGCTAACAATGCCTTCCCAGTTCTGCTTATCCTTCTGCTGGGGCTGCTAACTCTCCCTCACAGATTCTTCAAAGTTATCTTTAGCACTCTGAGCCTACACAGACTGCACAGCAAGTAATTCATCATGCTAACACTTTCTTAGCACTTTTTGACAAGTATGGTGTACCTGTGAAGATACGACCAATAATCTGAACAGGCAAGAGTCAGCGGGGGCACACTCAGCACACTCCAAGGTTCAATGGAGGCCACACCCATGCCCTCCGAGTACCTTCCTTTTTTCTGAGGCCTCCTTCTCTTATCCCTCATGCCAAAGCGTACACTAAGATCTTTCTTCTAAGTCCCAGCTCCTCTTTAAAGAAAGAAAGAAAAGATTCAAGAGAGCCAAATGTGGAAACAAAGGCTCCCTGGCTTGGAGTGAAGCAAACTTATCAGATCTGTCTCACTTTCTCTGAGAGAAAGCCAATGCTTTCTAATCTATCAAAAGACGGTAGCTATCAGGCAAGATCAGAGAGCTGCAGGTATCAAGTAAGCAATCTGCTGTGTCTGACCTCTTTGCTAGAATCAGAAAACAGGGCAGCGTTTTATCACCAAGCCAAATGACTCAGAGCAAGGACAGACACTCATTCCAACTCTGTGGATACTACCATGCTGACTCAGGTTCTGCATCTCTCGCTCTCGACGGTCTAATTCTGCGGCTTTTCTCTCCAGCTCTTCTTGGCGCTTGAGAAGTTCAGCTTGAGCCAAGGCATGTTCCTAAACGAAATGACCAACACACTCGGGTTAGCAGACAGTCAAAGCAGTCCAGCATCGCATGCCTGCCTCTGTACCACGAGAAACCTATGGTAAATGTGCTTCCAAAACACAAAGGTTCATTGAAAACTACAGCTTTGGAAAATATTAGTGAGATATTTGGTTCATTTTGCTCTGTTAGTTATGTAAGCCTTCAGGGGCAATGCTGAGGCCACAGGATGGGACAGACAAACAAACAAACAAAAACCAGCTCTCATTAAGGACAGCCAGAGTTGGGGGTAGACCACCAGCTCAGCAATGAGGAGTATGTGTGCTGTTTGTGCAGAGAAGCCACAGTCAGCTGCCAGCCCCTACGGCAGGTGGCTCACCTACAACTGCAGCCTCTGAGGGCACCCGCTCTCACCACACACGGCTACGTGCTGCTGAAAACAATAAAAATGAGCCCTTTAGGACAGAGCAGCCAGAGTCTACTAGCCCTGTGCTCTAACCCTGTGAGAGTGAGAGTGCAGGCAGGGGAACAGCTGAGGAGAGATGGACGGAATAAAGGACAACTGAGTTAGCTCAAAAAGCAGGGTCAAGTGATAAGGTTCCAGAAATGCAAGGACAGTTTAAAAGAGGGCATCCCGCACATCCGCCAGCTCCAACTCCTCACACTGCCCACTGAGCAGACACTAAGCTCTCACCCAGTACAGTTATTCTATTCTTGTTACTGTAGTGGCATGATGCATTGAGACCAAAGGCAATACAAAGTTCACCATATACACTGCACACCAAAATCATATCCGAACCTCCAGTATCAGTTTATACAGTTAACAGGCACTAACCTTTGTGATCTGTGTGTAAGCTGGATGCTCCTCTGTTGGCTTCATTATTGCTGGCTGGGTGTTGGGTACATTAGGCATTTTCACTCCGCCTGGTGGAGGCTAAAAAAGGTTAAAGATAAATTATACAACACAAAGACACAACCTTAGCTTACTTCACAAGTATCATAGTACTAGAAAGCAAAATCCCTGCCCGTCTCCGTGCCCTCTCAGGCAGTGCTACAAAGTGCTTCTGTATCACTACTTTCTAGCACGCTTCTCAGTTTTACAGTGCTGAACCGTACACCACATAGAAACAGCATAATTCCTTCTTTATAGCAAAACCGACGCCATCAGACTCAGGAATTACACTGCAGAGCGGGGTATGGGGCCATCTGCCTGTACCTGGGAGGCTAAGGCAGGAGCCAAAAGCCCAGGAGCAGCAGCCTGGGAACATAATGAGATGAAAGAAAGGAAGAAAGAGGAAAAGAGGGAGGAAGGGAGGGGAGATACTGACATTTACAGTCAACTCTTCCCTTTTAAGATCATACATGTCAATGGCCTCAAAAAGACTTCATTAGAAATCTGCTGCACAACATCACTTAACAGTTCCCCTTTACCAGGGAGCACCAGCCAACCTGAAGGTGGCTGCAGTACCAAAGGACAAACAGATATCTGTAAGTCCATCTCTGAGGATGAGTAAACTATGACATACCCAGTGCGGACATCCAAGAGAATGAGTTAACAATGTACAAGAAATTTTAAAATGCTAAATAAAATATAAAGAGTAAATTTTCAAAGTGAGTATAGATCTACACAGCAAACTACTGTCAAAGGGATTTTACATGGTCCTCCGTTGTCTGCCTCTCCCAACAGACACATCACACAGTATGGCTGTGTGTCCTGGCTGAACTAGAACTGACGTTAAACTCAAAAGCTCTGCCCACATTTGCCTTCCAGGTCCTAGGGTTAAAGGCGTGCACTACCTTACTCTGCCATATTACTTTTAGAAATTCAAGCGAAAAAATAAAAATAAAAAAAAAAATAAAAAAAAAAAAGAAATTCAAGCGAAGCTGGGACCAGGTGTCATGGCACATGACTGCATTCCCAGGCCTTGAGAGAGAAAACTACTGCAGACTCAAGGCTGGTCTAAGTTACAGAGTGAGGTCTGGGCTAGAGTGTCTTGAAAGAGAACAGAACAAAAACAGCATATGAAATCCCAGGACTCAAGAGAATCACAAGCCTGAGGCTAACCTGGGCTAAATACAAGACACACTGGCGAGCACGGGCGAGCATGTGAACATGAGCTTGAGAGCAAGCAAGGACTAAGGCATGGTAGGCAGGCTGCAGCACATGTCAAGAAAACACAGTCACCCGGGAACCCAATCAGCTAAAACCTTTATCAGCACTCAGCTGGCTTAAATACCAAGCAGTGCTGAATGCAGTATGTCTGTAGCAGGCAAAATGGTACAGCTCACAAACACTAGGGATGTGCAAACCTCTCCCGCATCTTTGCACACACAGCTTCTTTCCATCTGCAGATGTTAACTAAATCTCTACCCAGCTTTAGGACCCAGTGTTTCTTCAACTAGAGGACGTGGGGTTACCTCAAGCCAAGTGCAACACTAGAGAAAGACCTTTTGCCCAATCACTATGACAACAGTTCCTAATTCTCCTACATCTTCACCTCCAACATAAGAGCAGAAAACAATAAACCACTTGTGTGTATGTGAGTGTATACATACAAGTGTGTGAGTGCCTGTGCAGGCCAGAGATGGTGCAGAGCTCCCATAAGTGCAGTTACAGTCATTGTGGCTACCACACAGGTACTGGGATCTAAACTCCGGTTCTCATGATTGAGCAGCAAGTGCTCTTAACTGCTGACTCCCCTCCCCAGACCAAGACTGATATTTCAGTATATGGCAGACCTATACTTGTAGAGAACCATAGTATACAGTATCTAAAAGTGCTAGTTCAGTATTCATTTAAATAATATGCCAAATACATAGTGAAGCTAAGGAATCCTGGAAGGGTGGAAGGGCAGAAGATCTGTAGTCTGAGAAAGAGGTGCTCTGATGAGCTGCCATCTCCAGATTGCTGGGGTTTGAAGGACAAAAAGCAAAGCAGTTGCCTTAAAGAGAGCCAGGACTCACTGAAAACAATACCTGCAGGGGATGTGGGAGAAGAAAAAAAAACCCACAGGACAGATAGGAATATTTATATATCCTGTCTCGATCCTTAATACAGAAGGAGGGAGAAAAAAATACCCCTGAAGATGCCTGACCATAAACCTACCAAGGGGGAAATCTGGGGCCAGAATTCATTCTATTCATACAAACAGCAAATTCTAGGGCTAAGTTCTCATTACAGAGGACCCCTTGCGTCCCTCGTCAAGGTAAAGGAACATTCCTTAAAATGAGGCTTCTGAAATTCACAGAGAGCTCTAAAAAGTAGCTGAGTCATGATTTAAGCATATAAAGAAACAAGCCACCCTTGGCCAAGATCAAAATGAAAACAACTGTTTAAGAGCTGAATACACAGGCATAATCAAATACAAAGTAAGGTTTTTTTTTTTTTTAAATAAATATAAGGTTAGTAAAAGCTTAACTAAGGTAATGATGATCAAAATTATCAAACTGGTCTTCAAATGCTTCGGGAAGCCAGACTGCCTGGAGCAGTGTGTACAGGGTTGGGGGGGGGGGGTGGGCATGATCAGACACAAGTGAATGAGTGTGGATCCTACACCACAACCACCGTAAGGACCCAATGCCCCAGAACCAGGAGAAGGGCAAAGCCTTCCCTAGAGGAGGCCAGTGTGGTGCAAAGCTGGAGGCCATTTCTCAATGCTTTAAGACAGCTTACAACACTATATTTGCATATTCTGTGGTGATTTAAAAAGCTCAACTAGAACCAACCAGTAGAAACTAAAGAATGATCATATTGCCTCAATAGACTTAAGGACATTATAATAACCCTAGTCACATAATCGCAAACAGACTGTTCTATACTGTAAAAGCTTTCTGCTCACTGGAAACTAAGGACATTACACACACAAGAACAACATTCAAATTCTCTGCCTTCTAGGCATGAGAGATAGGGACTGTCTATGTCACATAAAAATTCACATCCTTTTGGGTGATAAGACCCTCTTGTGGAAGATGCTACAATAACAAAGATGATGTTATGTCTTGTGGACATAACAAATCAAGCTGGGACTGGGCTGGGAGCTTCCTCCCTCCTAGCCAGCTCCCAGTGCTGGTGGGAGCTACGCTGAGAGAGAAAAGCCATCAGTTGTACTCAGCTCTGGACTCTGCTGACTCCACAAATGATTCCACACAAGGCTTTGCTCACCACCTCGCTGCCATAGAAGGTGAAGAGACTCGTGAGGCTCCAGTACGCTCAGCTTAGACAGGGAGACAGACAGACAGACATAGTGATACAGCTGCTGGGACGGTACATGCTTCTGTATACAAACCATCACTCATGTTCCTATAACAACCCTAATGAAACTCAGAACCACACACACAAAAGTTAAAAGTACAAAGAGTGTGGGCTGTGAAAAGCACGGAGGGAGGCAAGTGGGGCTGGAGGGCACATGAAGAGGGTGATGGGGTGGATAAGCATAGTGCCTCATGTATGGATGCTATGTGCACGGTATAATTAAATCCTCTATCATCAATAATCAACATGTGCTAATAAAGCTGTTTGCTCTCCTTCCCTGTGTACTTCTGTAGTGTAAACATCTAATCCCCAAAGCAGCCCCATGTTCTCTCGTGCTCAGGGTCTGTGAAATGTTCTCTTGTGTCATATGGTCTAGCTTCAGAAACCCCAGATACTTAGAAAATGTACTCTAGGCCTAACCAGAAACAACCCAGGGGTTGAAAGAGAGGGAAGGTGAATTTTTAACTGGCTAACATGTTAAACAACTTCCTCGGGTAATCCCTCCACAAGCAAACGAGACAGTTTCCTGGAGCAGCTTCTATGACCAATGGAACTGCCCCCAAAGAATCTGGAACTTTTTAGATTTCACTCTTCATAGGCAACAGCTGGCTATGGCTATGCTTACCTGGACTCCCTTGGTACTAAGGACAAGGAGATATATACACTAGCTAAGAACCAGAACAAATAGAATTATTTCAATCAATAACCATACTAAAGCAAGGCTATTAAAGACTAGAATAAGCATTTGGAGGAGCTGCATAGTAGCAGAGAAGAGGTGTGCAGGCCAGGAGCTACGCACAGTAGGGGTGCACACAGTAGGGGTATACACAGTAAGGGTGTACATAGTAGGGGTGTACACAGTAGAGGTGCACAGACCAATATGCAAGGTCATGTACCTTCACCCACATATTTACCAGTCACTGATTACTTCATGGGACACAAATACATAATGGAGCTTGTGGCTTAGTAAGGGAAGACACCACACATCATAACCCAGAGCATCTTAGAACAGCAGGACCATGGACTGAAGGGGTCACAGGTGCAGGCTGAGTGTAGGTCGTCTTATAGACATGAAGTCATGAAGATGAAAAGGAAGTCTTCATGAGGGAAGACCACTCCAAACAGAAGCCACAGCCGATGTGAGTGGGACCAGTGTGCTGGCACACAATACAAGACATGCAGAACAAGGTAAGAGGGACAGGTAACAGGCTACTCCTAAGGCTCCTGATTTCATTCTGCTAAAAAAAATAAAAATAAAAATAAAAAAAAAGGAAAAGAGGAAAAGGAGAAAGAGGGAAGAAAGAAAAAGGAAGAAGGAAGAACAAACAGCAGGCACAGCCGCAGCAGGTAGTAAGGGAGACCTGAGTTTCCAGCTCTACATATAAGGGGTGAGGAATGTATTCTTCAAGAGGTTAAAGAATAAACAAGTTGAAAAATCAGTAACACCCCCATATCTTAGGAAACATGAGGACACAGGGCAAAATGTTGCCCCAAAACTGAGCAGAGACAGTTCACTAGAGCACAAATTCTCCATGGACACAGCAGTGGGAAGCAGTACCAGGGCAGGGGAATGTGAACTATGAATCTCTCCATAGCTCAGAGTTAAAACCTCGGTAGGACCAGGAGACACAGTTCAGTCCGCAGAACGTCTGCCTGGCGAGCCCGAGGTTCTGAACTTGATT